GTAAATGCTTTATTGAACTCTCCTAAAAAGGAGAGGAGTTTCGCTTAAGGAAAAAAGGAGGGTATATAGTGGGGTAAAGAAAAGATGAGTGATGTTAATTGTTGCTAAGTTAATCTGTTAGTAAAAGTGAAACATTCTTCTTTAGCTTCTTCTGTGAGTCGCCAATCTGCTTTCATCTTAACAATTAAGAAATCCATATTAGTATGTTAGAATTGTCCCAATGGTATTTTGTTAGTATTGCTTCTTCCGTCAGTGCTGGTTTTTTTGATCTCGGCGTACAGGATGAATCTACCTCGTTTCTCTCTGCAACTTGTCAGCTCCTCCTCCGTCGTTTACTTCCTGGTTATCAACTGTGAACCGTGCGCTAGTGTGCCTTTTCGCAAACAAAGCAGACTTTAAGAATGGATAAATCCGTTTTGAACATTGAGTTAATCGCTGCCATTCTCGTCCGCATCTTTCCGCCACCATGCACATTTACAAAAATCCCTTTGTGAACTTTGCATACCACCGATTCAGATCAGCACAGGTGCATAATCCCATGGGTGTGATGCACAGAGACCATGAAGAAGATTGTTAATTTCTTCATACTCTGCCCTCTTCCCCCCCATTGAACCCGGGACCTTGTGCATGTGTCAGACTCGGCCCCCTGGATTTACTGTTTTATTGTCTTTGAATTTCTTTCACTTAGTTTCGCTTTTGTATCCCCGCTTATTAGGCACATCTGGAAGTGCTCTGCAGCCTTATCTTTGCCCTCGCTGACATGACATTCCCAAGGGGGGGGAGTGAATGAGAGTGTGATTGTCGGTTAGTAAGAATGCGCCCCCCAGGTTCTCAGGTTTTCGCAAGGGAACTGACCTTGGGAGAGATAAGACTGTAAGCCTGGCTAGTTGGGTTGTATTTCTTACATGACCATTAGTAACTCTTGCACAGATGATGCATGCATGGAATGTGGGATCCCATCCTTATTATCAATCCCCAGGCCTGCCTTCGTAGTTCTGACAAAGACGTTTGCCTCTACAGTTAACCGAATCTTTTCAATAAATTTTCAAATGAATGAGTGTGTTAAGAGTGGTTCTACTGGGAGTCTGACAGCATGCCAAGGAGATGCTCTGCCACTGAGCCACAACCCCTCCATTCCCCTCCTCCGTGAACTGTGAAGCCACCTAGGCTACTGGCCAGCAGCACATTTTATGAAAACGAATTCCCTAAATTAACAATGCAATGCATGAAGAAATGCTTATTTCTGTTTGCCCTGGACCAGTTCCATTTGATAATCTAGAGTTCTAGTGTTCCAAAACAATAATTTCTGTTTGCACTCTACAACTGTTCAGAGTTGTATAAACTTCTGTCATATTCCTCTCAAATTTTCTCTCAAAAAAACCCAAAGCTTCTTTATTCTTTCAGCACATTAGAAATATTCGCCAAACCATGGGATTTTCTGCTTCATTTCCAATTCTTTGAGATTGAACAAGGACATGGAATTGTAAATATGGCTGCACCATAAATTTATAAATGGCACTTGGGTTTATTTCCACTGCCATTTCTAATAATCTCTGAAATTAAATATGCCTTGTTGCATTCCCACAGCCAAGTAAACTGGCAATTTCAGGGAGCTTTTTGCTTTGAAAGCCAGATCTCTTCCCTGGATTATTATACTACAACAACATCAACAAGAGCTTAATAAGGTCAGAGACCAATCAAATAACATACACAATGTGAGTAAAATATACATTCAGATTGAGACATATAAAATAAAAATCAGGACTCAGTTCTAGTGATAAGCCGATTAGATGCTTCCCTCTACAAACTGCTTCTGGAGTCTTATAGCTTGTCTAGCAAATTTTGCCACATTTAGGGTAATCTTTTGGTCTCTATCGGCTAAGAGCTTGTCGGGTCTTTATACCCAATTTAAACCCTCTGCATCTATGTATAAAATTAAGCTTGCATTTTACTACATGAAACCTCATCTGCCACTCAGAAAAGAATCTATCACTTTGCTTTATTCCCAACACAGTGAGGAGACTGTCAATAAAAGTAGCCTTGAAGCATCACCCCAATAACACAGATCTATCTGCCTTTGCATTAATTCCACAAACATTATACTGGTCAGAAACAAAAGCTGTCACATTGTATCTTAAGGAAGCGCGTACAACAATTGTGCGGGCCAAATTACAAGATATACTTCAATAGATTACAGTTAGCAGCCATGTATTATTTCGTGATCATTGCCTCCTTAAGCCCAGCAGATGAAATATCCCCTCCCCAAATTCTCCATATATCACAGAGAGGAGAGGGAGGATCTCTTGCTTCATGCTGGGCTCAAGAGTCGAGCCACCTGCTCTGCCCTTCCCATATATTCATTATCCAGTCATGACCTGCAGTCCATGTGCAAGGGACCTGCGGGAGAAAAGGGGGTGTCATTTTGTGTGAGGATTTGAAGACACTTGGAAGCATTGAGAAGGCCTTTTCAAATTCCTACACAAAGTGAAATTGCCACAACCCCCTTCTCATGCCCCAAATAAGACTCCCTGAGAGCAAGATGTATTTTCTGTGGCTGCATGAAATCTCTAATGAAGGTTTTGTCACAGACGCAATCACATCAGTTTTAAAATACCCCCATGCACTTCATGAAACCTAGAAGTAGCAACAATTATTTTGGAGACAGGATGATGCAATTCCCTTTTAAAAATTCCTTTCCAACGTTAACTAAATTGATCAGTCAGAGCCTGAGAAAAAGATATCCTGAAGGAAATTTTACAGGTCAAACCTTCATATCATCCCAGATACTATCCCTTGTTGTGATCACCCTTGATACCTTCAAAGGACGCTGACATGACCTGCTAAAAGGACTATGTTGTGAACCTGTTTGTACATCATCTGCTCTGGAAGTGGCACAACAAAGCTAGAATGGAGAGGATTAGGCTGCTTTTACAATTTTCAACCAGCCTCTCCTATACCCACCCTATCTTGTTGGTTCCATTCTCGGCTGGTTTGGAATCAGTCCACGTGTGTTGCTGGTCAACTCACGATCCCTTTCCACTTATTGTGTTATTTTTCACTGCATGGTCCAAGTGTCTTGCCAGACAGGTAAAGTATCACCCAACCAATGATATTTCCTGCGCATGCAAACATCTCTATACTTTCTAATCTGTATTCTTAGCCCTTTGTGTGAATGTTTGATTTTTGTTTGTATGGTTGAAAAACCTTTAGTAAAGAAATCATTACTTTAGCAATCTAGCCTCAGCGTCTATTTCTAGGTCCTGGGAACTCTAACTCCTGTAAACACCAGTTATGGTCCCATATTTTATGCCTATTGCCATTTAAGATTCATAATTCCTCAAGTTTATTAATAAAAATAAGGCAATTTGGCTAACAAGATGTCACATTCTTCTCTTAGCTATCAAAGATATAGTCAGTCAATCAGAACAATGTAGACAACTGGATAACTGTGTGTCAGAGTCCCACAGCAATCAGTTCTCAACAACGTTCCTTCCAAAAGGTTCCAGTTTATTGAGTACAGTAAAGGGAAGTCATCTGTGCATACACTCAGTGTCAGAACTAACCCTAAAGGAGGGAGGGAAATAGCTATATGAGAGTCAAAGTGGGGTCCCCTGACGAGGTCGAACCAATCAGGGAATTAGCTAGAGTGCACCTAAAGTAACAGGTTCATATTCCAAGTGAAGCATCAGGAGAGAGGTACCAAGGTCAGACGCTCAGGCTATGAGACAAGACTCAGCGAGGAGAAGTGAAAGTTAAAATTCATGCATAACAAGAAGCACTTCATCAGCTGCCCCCACCACCACCACCACCACCTGCAATGGCAGCATAGCTGACACTGTGGTACTTAAAAAGCTCTTTTGGAAAGCACTCATGTTCGTCAAAAATATGTTTTAGGTTATGGGAGCAGAGGTAGGGCAAGTAAAATACACAGCTTTTGGAAGACTTTGTAAAGTAGAAAAAAAATACGAGGGGAGATTATCCCTACTATATTGACATAGTAGAGGAGAACAAGAAAGATTTGGGGCAAACAGCCAGTAAGCAGAACTAAAAAAACACAATCAATAAACCCAATTCCCATGCAAAGTTCCTGGAAAGGTACAGCTCTTCATAAAGGCACAGTCAAAATGATGCTGGCAGAAGTAAAAGACAAAAAGTCAGCCTCGTGCAAGGAGCTTATGGAAGCTGGCAGACATGAAGGGGACAAAAGGCCACATAAAGACTGTCATGACAGACAGAAATGTGTTTGTAAGGTTCATGAACAGAGCTTGTTGTCATATCGCCTGCTCCTCCTGCTCCTCTCCTCGCACACAAAGTGAAAGGGAAAAAACTTCATTCGAGCTTCCCAGGCTTCTCTGATCTTTGAATGCCAGCTCCTGGGCAAATGGGAAATTAGTGTTACACACACACACACACAAAACAGGATTGTCAACAGGGCAGAGGAGAAATTCCATTTTGGAAAGGTACCCATACTGGGGCATGACTGGAAACTCCCCAAACCACAATTCTTCAAAACTGAGGTCTGAGCAAGAGAAAGGGGGAGGAGCAAGAAGAGAACACAAGCATGGCAACCACAGAGTTCATATGTTGTTGTTGTTGTTTTTCTTTGCAAAGTCTGAACGCAGCCGTAAACTATGGCTGCAATCACACACACTAAATAATCCACTTTCAATGCACTTTCCAACTGGGTTATACAGGGTGAACTGGCAAAATCCAGCAGGAAAGTGCATTGAAAGTGGATTGAAAATAGATTATTTAGTGTGTGTGATCGCAGCCTCATTCACCTAAAGTCTTGCCTCACACAGAAGAGCAAAACAGTTTGGCATACCATAAGCAACCATATGAAGTAATGGCAAAATAGGCAAGACTGAAAAAGACACTATACAGTTCATCAGATCTCTAGAAGTCAAACTAATGAAATATGCATCTCAGTGCTCAAACAAAAATATCTCTCTCATGGCAGTTGGTTATTTTAATACCAGGGAGGGGGGTTGGATACTTACTGTGAATCATGATGGTTTGTCTTGTAAGCGTTGAAGACATCTTGGACTATGCTCTCTACCTTTGTCTGTAGTGAATACATTACAAGTGGATGAAAGAAAAAGAATACCATGCATTAATATTTTAATAATTCTAATGAACAATCACCATTAAAATACAACTGAGAAGTATTACATAGCATGCCAACAACAAAACTACTTAGGGCTGTGAAGATCTCTGTTCAAGTCACCAAGTTGTGAAACCTACAGGGTGATCTTGGGTCAGCCATTTTCTCTCTGCCTAACCTACCTCAAACGGTTGTTATGAAGGTAAAGTGGAGGGGGAGAACAGTGTACACTGCCTTGAGCTCCCTGGAGGAATGGTAGAATGAATATGAAGTGGTACAGAAGATTATTCTTATTATAAATGGATATTAGTGCAAGAGAGCTGCTCCTGTTGTTTTTAAAATTCAACAAAGAATCTTGAAAAAGTAATGGATCATAACAGACAACCAAATCGCAGCTACTTCAGTACAGAACATCTCCTCAGGACAGAGTTATATGGCAGCCGACCATACTCCTGATTCAATTCCTGCAGCTGAAGAACACAAAAAGAATCCCTAAGGAAAGGCATAGATCTTCAGACCCCCCACCCCACCCCATCAGCACATGCTGACCCCACAGAGAATGGCTTCTGCCGTGTGGGCATGAGGAAGGTTCCAGCACCCTCTGAATGGACACCGCAGAAGTCAGCACATGCACTGAAACAGAACAGCCTAAGAAACTCTCATTAGACTGAAACATAAGAACTAAAGTCTGTGTATGTACTGATTTTACCTCAGAATTATCTATATTATCTATATTGAGTTACCACAGACATTTTACCCCAGATTTCATCTGACCTTTCCTCTCTATGTTGAATAAAATATTTTGGTAATTTGTAATATAAAAACTTCTCAAGTGCTATTTAAGTCATGTACATAAATGGGGGCTCCCATTCCTTCCCTCAGGTTCCCGGCCTGAAGAGACAGCCAAAATATTATACTGTGACAGGATGGGACAGGCAGAATTCTTCAGGAAATAAGAAAACAGACAACGAGGGCAGCTCAGTCACAAAAGGGAAAGAAAAATGGAAGGAAAATCCTGCCTCTGAGGGAGGGAAGTGAACGGGTGCCAGCACAGCCTGCCTTTTCCTTGAGCATATAAAAATACCAGGGACAAAGTTTAACTAAAAGGGCCTTCTAGAACAACTGATTGGTTCAGCATAAGAAAAGGAGTACGACAAGGATGTATCTTGTCACCTTGCTTATTCAATTTATATGCAGAGTACATCATGCGAAATGCTGGCCTGGATGAATCACAAATTGGAGTTAAGATTGCTGGGGAAAAGATCAACAACCTCAGATATGCAGACGATACCACTCTAATGGCAGAAAGTGGAGGACCTAAAGAGCCTCGTGCTCAGGGTAAAAGAGGAGAGCGCAAAAGTGGGATTGAAGCTCAACATCAAAAAAACTAAGATCATGGCATCCGGCCCCATCAGTCCTTGGCAAATAGAAGGGGAAGTCGTGAAAGTACTGACAGACTTCACGTTCCTGGGATCCCAGATCACCCCAGACTGTGACAGCAGCCATGAAATTAAAAGATGCCTGCTCCTTGGGAGGAAAGCGATGGCGAACCTAAACAGCATGATAAAAAGTAGAGACATTACCCTGCCAACAAAAGTCCGCATGGTCAAAGCAATGGTATTCCAAGTAGTCATGTATGGCTGCGAGATTTGGACTATAAGGAAAGCCGAGCGCCGAAGAATAGATTCTTTTGAACTATGGTGCTGGAGAAGACTCTTGAGAGTCCCTTGGACTGCAAGAAGATCAAATCAGTCAATCCTAAAATAAATCAACCCTGACTGTTCCCTGGAAGGCCAGATCCTGAAGTTGAAGCTCAAATACTTTGGCCACCAAATGAGAAGGGAGCACTCACTGGAGAAGACCCTGATGCTGGGAAAGTCTGAAGACGGGGACGGTAAAGGATGAGGTGGTTAGACAGTGTCATCGATGCAACGAACATGAAATTGAGCAAGCTTCAGAGGACAGCGGAAGACAGGAGGGCCTGGTGTGATCTGGTCCATGGGGTCGCAAAGAGTCGGACTCGACTGTGCGACTGAGCAACAACAAGAGTGAAAAAAAAGTACTTGCCTGGGGCTGGAAGACAACTAAAGCAGGAACTGTCCACAGTGCAAAGGGGAATGAGTTCTATAGAGCAGGAGCAGATGCCAAGAAAGCTGTTGTGTTGGTTTCCACTAACATGATTTTTCTGATGGGGAAATGGGGGAGTGTCCTGCAATAAGGCTTTCATAATTGACTTCAGAGCTGTCATGGCTCAGGTGGGGTGTCACCTGACGCTGCCACCACTCTGGTTCCAGGCTCCCTTGAGAAGGCCCAGAGCACCCTCCCAAGACCTTCTGACCTCCCTTTTGGCCAAATAAGAGGCGTGAGGACCAGGCAGAGTGAACAATGAAAATAGTTTATTGTATAAGAGGTCAAACAAACAAGGTGCAGAAATACAACAGTAAGTGGGTGAAAAGAAATCAAATGCCCTAACGCGTCTAAATATATACTGTCCCTAGTTCACTATTCCACTATTTTAGGGTTCTAAAATTTATCACTGCTAATTCACAGTAGTAGCCAACATAACTGGCACAAAGTGGGAGTAATATGCTTACTGCAGCCAACGCTTGGCAGCATCCTGGCAGCTATGTACCATACCACTTTGTTGCCCTGCAAGAGCCTTACGCAGCATCTATAAGGCTATGGACTATAACTGTAAGCTGGACTGTACAATAAGTGTGCCAGGGTATTGGACTGTGCAGTAGCCAGAAGCTGGTGCCAACCTCCTGGACTGTAGGCACGTGCCCAGCTGAGGGAAGCCTCGCTCTGAAGCAGTGTGCCAAGCCAGACGATAGACCCATGGAATACCCGATGCCTTTCACCCCTGCATCTCTGCAGGAGGCAAACCAACCTCCCTGACACCAGAAGTCCACAGAAACAGCAGCAGTTCATTATGAAGGAGCCATGCTCTGTGAAGGAAGCCTGAGCATTTCTGCAAAGATGCCATAGGCAGATAACTTTTCCATCACGCAGGTACCTTCCCCCGCCCCCCCCTCACCTGCACCAGAAGCTGCACGTACTCTTCATTGTAAAACTTACGCCATGAGAGGGTTAAACAGCTGTCACATCCACCTGCCGCCCATTCTGATAACGCAGCTGCCGACTGTTGGGCCATTACAACTAACGACCGTCCATGGACCTGGGACATTACTACTCTCTTCTTTCTTTTGTATTTCTAAAGGTGTCACCATTAGCTGAATATAACTGTAATTGCCCAGCCATTAATCCTATTCTCCCGGTCATCTCCTAACCATTAGTAACTAGATTTTTCTATGTGAATGGTAAAGCATCCCGCTCTCAGTCATTTTGGGTATATAAAGACAGCCTCTCCCCAATGCTCTTCTCTCTCTCACACTTCTTACCTACCTGACCCCACCCTACCTTGTTGGCTCCATTCTTAGCACTGCTTGGAGTCTCCCACATGCATTGCCAGTCAACACACGACCCCTTCCCTGGTATTTTCCCTATTTTCGCTGCAGGATCACCTCGTCACGTTGGACAGGTAAAGTATCGTCCCCATCAACAATACCTTTCTGCTAACTGTCACTGTATCTTTCTATCTAATATCTTAGCTCTGTGTCGCTTGAGTGTGTGATTGTTTTATTTTTATTGTATGTGTGCGAGAATTATTAGTAAAGAAATCACTATATTTTAAGATCTAGCCTCTGTTTCTATTTCTGGGGATCTGGATAAGTTGGACTCCAGTATACATAAGTTAAAAAAGGTAAAGGTTTCCCTTGCTTGAAAGCCAGTCGAATCTGACTCTAGGGTTGCGGTGCTCATCTCCGTTTCAAAGCCGAAGAGCCAGCGCTGTCCAAAGACGTTTCTGTGGCCATGTGGCCGGCATCACTAAACACCAAGGTGCACAGAACACTGTTACCTCCCCACCGAAGTGGTACCTATTTATCTACTTGCAATTTCTTGCTTTCAAACTGCTAGGTTGGCAGGAGCTGGAACTAGAGACGGGAGCTCACTCCATCATGCGGCACCCGGGTCTCGAACTGCTGAACTACTGACCTTCCACAGCCTGCAGTTCAGCGTCTTAACCACCTGAGCATAAGTTATTGTTCCCTTAATTAGAGCCATTGCCATTTAATATTCAAATTCCCCATTCTATTAAAGAAGTAAGGCAATTTGGCTAGAAGCTTCTTAATCATCTTCAAATAGAGCCCCACATTACATGTGTGACAGTACTCCAACCTGCATATCACTAATGCATGTGAGACTATGGCCAAGTCCACCTTGCCTCGATAAGGCCACAGCTAGCAAACCAGGGTAAGCTGGAAAAGCATTCCTGATTTCTTCCATCACCTAGACTCCAATGTCAGTGAGGCATCCAGAAGCATGTGAGTCTATGCCTTCAGGGAGAGTAAAAATCCATCCAGCACAAGTTGAACACCTGTTCCTGGCTTAGCTTTATCCCTGAACCACAGCACCCCTGTTTGGTCTGTCAAAGAGAGCCCCTCTGCTTGCCCAAACTGGGCTAGGAGTTCTCTTTGCCAAGAGGTAGACTAGCTCCAATTACAAAGGGGTCAAAGGCACCTGTAGTACCTTTAACCAGGTAGTGCTATCACCAGTCCTTTTACGTCCCTCCAGCCCAGAGCCAAAGGACAGACTCTAGACCTTACCAGGCTCAACTAGGGAATCCTCCCTGCAAGGTAGGTTCACAGCAGGAGACCCACAGGTTATTCTAGAAGTACTAACCGACAGTCTTAGGCATCAGATATCTCATTGCAGCAGTGGAGACAGAAACCAGAATTGGTGAATAAAATATTTAAGTGCAGAGAATAATTAATAAAAAGTGCAGAATTACTTAAAATAATATTGTGGGGAATAAAACAAGAAAGCTAAAGATTAACACACTAGCTAGACACTTATAGAACCTTGGTTCTCAAAGTCAAGATGTTACCCATTCAGTTTTG